CCCCTGACTTGAGAGAAGAGGGAAATGAACATAAAACCCAAAAATCTGAAGTTTTGAAAGCACTTAAAAAAAAAAGAATCTGTGGCGTAGGGACAGTAAGTAAGTTGTTTTCTAAGCAAAACGACAGGGTGTGTAAGCAAAACGACAGTGCATGCTTGGACTTTTGTTACCTTTTGTTAATTTGTAAGAGACAGAGATCTGCAATTCCCGTGAGTTGGTAAATCTCTCACTTCAAGACCTTTTTCAAGAAAAAATATAATGGATCTTAAATTAACTTTTTACTGCAATGCTTTTTTTGGGGTTATATTATGTTACATGACAAATATTCATGTGCCCAAACCCAAAATCAACCTGATTGATAATGCTAAGATATAAAATTAAATCCATAATGTTATCTTTAACGTTGATTTCAAAAGAAAAATCATTAATTAAAGTCTTTACCATATTGTAATACCAAAATATATTAAAACACTCCAAAAATAACTTTGTTTTTTTTTTTCGTGTTTTTATCGGTTGCATTTATTTGTGCACTTATTTTCTATGTTCTGCTTCTTGTGTTGTGTGGCATTGCACTATTGTTGATGTAAAATATTATAAAGAAAATAAGTTTTTGACGGTATTGTAAATGAATAAATTAAGGAGATGTGGAAAATCTTGTGACCCTCCATAGATCTGAAATTAAATCGGCTTTCCAAATCGAATAACCATTAGTGGTCACGCTCAAAATTAATGCTCCCAACCTCTCACACTATGATTTTTACTAAATAAGTTGATTTTTTTTTTCCTTCAAATCAGATTACTCAATTAGCAACACGCAAAGAAAAAACTGAATGATTAAGACATTAAACTCGCTTATACTTCACTCCCTTAAATCAAAACTAATGCATACTTTGTGAATCAAACTAATGGATCTATATAAATTATATTCTTTTAGCAACCCCACCACTTCAATCAAAATCACTTAATTACTCTCCCAAGTTGTATCTTGGGGATTGATCTGCCAACTATTCAATGTCATATTTAATCACAACAACAAAAAAAAAGGGAAACTAAAATCATGGAAAACAAAATCATTAAATATCAACTCTTCGAAAAGCCCCACAAAAACATATCATCATATAGGCACATATCAACTTTTTGCTAATTCCCCACCAATTTTTTTTGTTGTAGTCCATTAATTTGCAGGGCAAGAAATGCATATGGGATTTGTAAGGAAAGGTCAGTAAGCTTCATCAAGTTCTTGTTTCATGATATACTCTTTGTCACTCATTGACTCGACCAAATCCTCTATTACATCATACATCTCTTTGCTTCTCTCGCACGAACTGTCTTTCGCAATGAAACTACGTAATCCTTCACCAGTTGCGATCCAACTGGTGCCAGCGATTTTCTTCAATCCCATTCTCTTCATCTTATCCCTTACGATTTCAGCTTCTTCCCATCTCCCCGCTCGTGTGTATAAATTCGCCATGATAGTGTAATTCCCTGTATTTTCGGGTTCCATCTCAAACAAGCGATCACAAGCAAACCTCGCAATCTCGACATCACCAAGAACAGAAGCCCCATTCAATAATGCACCCCAAACTTTAGCAATCGGTTCCATTGGCATCTTTAAAATGAACTCCATTGCATCCGAAAGTTTTCCAGCTCGGCTAAGAACACTTACCATACAAGCATAGTGCTCAACTCCAGGCTCAATGTCATACTTTGTTACCATAGAATCAAATATGTGCTGCGCCTTGTCTGATTCTCCGGAGTGCGCACAAGCTGAAAGAACAGCTGTTAGCGTGACATTGTCCGGCTTAGTTCCGACACACTGCATTTGGTCAAAAAGACTACAAGCAGAACAAGAGTCCCCATGAACAGCATATGCTGTTATTATTGCGGTCCAAACGATCAAGCTCCTCTCTTTACAGTTATCAAAAACCCGTTGAGCACCTCGGAGAAATCCTAATTTAGCATAGTTATCTATGATGGAGGTAGCGACATATATATTGTTGTCAGAACCATTACGGATGGCAAACGCGTGGATTTCCTTACCCCCTTTCAGATTTGAACAATATGTCAACGAAGGAAGAAGGCTCGAAAGCGTCACTGTATTTGGCCTAGAGCCACATTGTATCATCTCCCTAAATGCGTTTATAACCTCCTCGTGATGGTTATTCTGCATAAGACCCGAAATCACCGCATTCCACGTACTGAGACCAATGCTTTCCATTTCACTAAATAAAGCCATTGCTTCATTGACAAGACCATGAGCCATATATCCTGAAATTATAGCCCCGTATGTGACAGAATCTTTCTCACTCATTTCATCAAACAATGCTCTTGCATAATCCAAGCTACCACATTTAGCATAAAAAGCAATCACAGCATTACACAGGGATAAATCCATCTGAATATGATTCTCAAGCATCTTCTTGTGAACTTCCATCCCGAAAACAAGATCGCTTGATTGTCCACACGCCTGCAATACGCTTATTACAGTGACTCCGTTAGGTTTTAAACCAGAGCAACTTAACATCGATCTATACAACTCTTTACAGTCCTCGTAAGACCCACTTTGAGAATACCCGGAAATCATAGAGTTCCACGAGACGATGTCTCTGTCAGACATTTCATCGAACCCTTTCCTCGCAGACGCAATGTCCTCACACTTTGTATAGTACGTGATCAACCCATTGCCCACAAAGACATCGGAATCAAACCCACCTCGTATAACAAACCCGTGAACTTGTCGAGCCAGTGAACACAACCAGTAATCATCATAACCCGACAAGGCCTTCAACACACAAGAGATGCTAATAGAATCCGGTCTGGCGGTATCGGAAGAGTAACAAGAGGACCCAATCCATGACGAAAACAACGAGAAAGCATCGAAATACATCTCACGGGAAGTGTAAGCGATAAGAAGTGCATTGTAAGAGAAGGCATTTCTAACGGTAATTTCGTCGAACACATGGAGTGCTTGGCGGAAGCGGTTCTCCCGAGTGTAAAAATTGATGAGCTTCGAAGCGAGGAAGTTGTCAGGTTTGACGGAGAAGACAACAATGCGCGCGTGAAGCTGAAGCGCGTGGAGAGGAAGTCGGTCACGGGTGAAGTGCTGGATGAGGTGACCGTACGCGCCGCCGTCGACCGCCGCGGTGTTGAGCAATCGTTGAATTTCGAATCCCAACTTCATTCATGTCTTAACCAAAAGCTAAACCGGAGATAATAAACAATATGAACATTTTGAGGCAAGTTTATGGGCTTTTATATTGGGCCTTAAAAATATTGCTTTTAAAGTATTTATACAGAGCGAAGGGAGTAATTGGAACCGATGGACTTTTTAGTTTCATGTCTTGTCTGAGAAATTATTATTGTCGAGCTTTCAGTTATATTCAATCTCGATCTAGCTACTACAGTCGATCACTGAATCGTGACACAACTCAAGAGGCAACTGAAGTTGAGAGACGAGCTCGTGCTTTAAGAGTTTTAGACATCATATCTTCGAAATCTAGTGGAGCTTCGAATCATCTTGGTTTCGTTCAGGAATTTCTGCAAACAGATTCGAGGCGATTCAGAGGTCAAACAATTCCCGAGGATTTTGATCTCTCAAGAACCAAAAATGGGATTTCAAGCGTTCTCGAGGAAGTTCTTGTGGAGAATTCTTCAAGTTCTGTCAATGGTGGTATGCAGCAACGAGATGGGTGGAGTTTCGATGCTTATGGTTTGTCGTCCGCCGTGAGTTCTTGTGGTTCGAATCGAGACTTTAGAACGGGTTCTGGGTTTCATTGTTTGGCGTTGAAAGGTGGGTTTGTCTCAGATGTCTACGTAGGAAGTTCTCTGGTCGTTTTGTATAGAGATTCCGGTGATTTGGACAATGCACATAAAGTGTTCGAAGAAATGCCTGAGAAGAATGTTGTTTCGTGGACGGCTATGATTTCAGGGTTTGCGCAGGAATGGCGAGTAGATATCTGCTTGAAGCTTTATTCAAAGATGAGGAACTCAACCTCTGATGCAAATGATTACACGTTTACGGCTCTCTTGAGCGCTTGCACGGGAAGTGGAGTTTTAGGGCAAGGAAGAAGTGTTCATTGTCAAACACTGCAAATGGGTTTCAAGTCTTATCTTCATATCACAAACGCTCTCATCTCGATGTACTGCAAATGCGGTGATTTGAAGGATGCTTTCCGTATCTTTGACCAGTTTTCGAACAAAGATGTCGTCTCTTGGAACTCTATGATTGCTGGTTATGCGCAGCACGGTCTTGCAATGCAAGCAATCAAGCTTTTTGAAGTAATGATGCCCAAAAGCGGAACAAAGCCTGATGCAATCACATATCTAGGAGTTCTGTCATCGTGCAGACACGCGGGTCTGGTAAAAGAAGGAAGAAAGTACTTCAGTTTGATGGCGGAACACGGCTTGAAACCAGAACTCAACCACTACTCTTGTCTAATCGATCTTCTTGGCAGAGTTGGTCTGTTGCAAGAAGCTCTAAAGCTGATCGAGAACATGCCAATGGAACCAAACCCGGTCATATGGGGATCTCTGCTATTCTCTTGCCGTGTCCACGGCGATGTCTGGACCGGAATTAGAGCTGCAGAGGAACGGCTAATGCTTGAACCTGAATGTGCAGCCACGCATGTCCAGCTAGCGAATCTTTACGCTAGTGTACGATACTTTCAAGAGGCGGCGACAGTGAGGAAGCTGATGAAAGATAAGGGATTGAAAACGAATCCAGGTTGCAGTTGGATCGAAATCAATAACGATGTTTTCATGTTTAAAGCTGAAGATGGTAGCAACTGTAGAATGCCAGAGATTGTTCATGTTCTTCATTCTCTCATAGATCACATGGAATTCCTCTAATACGCCGCCGTTTTCATTCCTTTAACTAATGAAAGGACTTTAATTTATAGTTGAGTAATGAAAACACATTAGTTTATTAATCAAGAGAGGTAATCAAAATGTATATAGTTGTATAATGAGGTAAAATGCACTAAGAGTTCTCCATCTTAAACTCTCTCAACTCTTTGACTTTGTTGTTACGTCTCTTTCTCGATTCTGAAATATTACAATAATATTGTGAAGAAATTTTATAATTTAACGAGTTTGCACGATTGGTATAATAAACCTGGTGGTAATCAATACTAAAATTCGAATTATTTCATAATACGAAAACACAATCGAATCTAACTGAAGAAAAGTGTCTACTCTTTCTTTTTTATACCAATTCTCCACCACTACCGCACTACAAAGACGACGACAAAAGAAGAAAAAGTAGAGAGAGAGAGATGGATCTGGATTGGGAAGCTTTTTCCAAGGATTACGAATGGCTGATTGTGTATCTGAAAGGCATGGTGAAGCCTGCGGCGGCGCTTGCGGTGGTGCTTTTAGCGGTGGCTCTCTCTTACTCGCAGAATCTCTCTTTAGAAGGAGAAATGATTTACTCTGTTTTCCGATCGTTTCTTCAGCTCTCCGTTATCGGATTCGTTCTTCAGCTCATCTTCAATCAGGAAAACTCCGGCTGGATCGTTCTCGCTTATCTCTTCATGGTTAAATAACTTCCAATCGATTTCGCTTTGATTCTCGAAAAAATTCATGTGATTTTACTCTGTTTTTGATATTTACTCTGTTTTTGATGTTGGATAGGTCTCTATCGCCGGTTACACCGCCGGACAACGTGCGAAGCACGTGCCACGTGGAAAGTATGTGGCAGGAGTATCTATCCTTACCGGAACTGCAATCACGATGTTCCTGCTCGTTGTCCTCAACGTCTTTCCTTTCACTCCGAGGTATATAATTCCAGTTGCCGGAATGATGGTCGGAAACGCCATGACGGTCACCGGAGTTACCATGAAACAGCTAAGAGATGACATCAAGATGCAACTAAACCTGGTAAATCATTTTACCAAAATTTAACCGAACCAAAATTTTCCGGTTTAATTAGATTCCCGGTTCGATTGATTTGTTCGAAAACCCCCGTAGGTGGAGACTGCATTGGCACTAGGAGCGACGCCAAGACAAGCGACGTTGCAACAGGTGAAGAGAGCATTGGTGATCTCTCTATCTCCGGTTTTAGATAGCTGTAAAACCGTTGGATTGATCTCATTACCGGGAGCGATGACCGGTATGATAATGGGCGGTGCGTCGCCTCTCGAAGCCATCCAGCTTCAGATCGTTGTAATGAACATGATGGTTGGAGCAGCTACGGTTAGTAGCATCATGTGTACGTATCTTTGTTGGCCATCTTTCTTCACTAAAGCTTACCAGTTACAAAGTCATGTCTTCTCCTCAAATTGAAACTTTTTTTTTATATATCCATACATTCAACAACTCTTTGGAAACTTGTCTGAGATTGAAAAGCCAACAACAATTATGTCTGAAATAGCATTGTTTAACCATCTCAATTCGGAAAACAGAAGAAAACTCTTTGTCAACATGAACTTAAACGGGTCTTAAAGCAAACACACTCGAAAGAGAAAGGAAATATCTGGAAGTCTATTCATAGTACACAAGCTGAGCCCATGAGTCACCAACTTAAGGGGACTCGCTTCCTCTAGGGGAAGCGCGGTTGGGCTCGTAATCATCATCAACGGGGCTGCGGTCCTCTCTTGGGCTGTCACCACCGTGTCCCACAACGGGACTGACAACAGAGTTTTTGCCATTTCCATTGTCTTGGGGGCTACCGCCTTCATGGTCTGATCTGTCTTCTTTTTGAACCTTCGGAGATGGTGGCGGGCTCCCGTCTATGATCCTTGGGCTGCCTTCATCATCAAGGATCGGACTACGGTCTCTGCCTCTTGGGGATAGAGAATCCTCCGTTCGCTTTGGACTGCGTGATCTCTCCTCCACACTTCTCTCTCTTCTTTTCACAGGGGACCTTGATCGGCTGACCATAAAGAAAACAAGAAGTCAATCGAAGTGCTAACCAGACACAAAGCTAGAGACAGTAGTTACCCAGATTCATGCTGTTAGGATCTTACCAAAAACCTAATGCATGTAAGCATCTAAACACAAACCAAGAAGGTTAAGTTACAAGGAAAAAAACCAACCTGTA